GTTTGTTATTTGGGGTGTCACCAACTATCCTTGGGTCACATTTCACTTCCCAATAACTCCTGAAAATTTCTGCTTCCGTCAAAGACTTGCAGCCTCAAGAAACTATGGTTTTCATTCAAAGAAGCAGCAGCAGAAAAGAATGATTCCTCCTCTGGCTGCCTTTTATACTTCTGGACAAAACAGTTCCCATTCCTGATCAACTATAACTTTCTTTTGAGTGTCTCATGTAGTACAGGCTGGCTCAAACTCACTACATAGCTGAGGATGACACAGAACTTTGGTTTCTCTTGTCTCTCCCTCACATAGGTTTATGTGGCGCTGGGAATCGAACCCAGAACCTTGCGCATAGCACCATATCCACTGAGTTATATCCCCAGCCTTACCTTTACATTTCTTGTACTTGAACTGAGCCTCATTTCTCAGGCATTTACAATGCCTTCAACCTTTTACCTGGCTCTATGGAGGCCAAGGTCTTATCCTCATGGGGACAATTCCACTGAGCAACTGTTATTGGCATTGACTTTAACTTTTGGTTATTATATGACATCTTTCAAAGCCAAGGAAGGCTGCGTGACTCATGATCTGGCTATTAGATTAGAGCCCCATATTGCTGGAGGGCTGCACTTCTAAAAATAGTGAAACCTAATAAGCTTGACTAGATAAAAGGAAAGTCGAATCCTCAATCTCGAGCAGAGAATCCTTTTCCTGGTTCAACAAAAGCACACTTGCCCGGAGTAGTTCATCACTGGGACAGCACATCTTAGAGGAAGGGTCTTCTGGCTTCTGGTGCTTGGGGCCCTTCGTTTCAGAGTTTGTAGTCTGTGGTCACTTCAGCGCCATTGTTTCTACGCCTGTGGGGAAGCAGACGTGTGGAGAAGAAACCTACTCACCTCGTGTGGAAACAATGTGAGAGGCAGGCCCTGGAGAAGGTGGTCCATGCAGTCAATCCAGACGTGGGCCACCGCTGATGGGATAGCAGTCCTCATGACACAGGCCCTTCCCAGAGTCCCATCCTCCACCGCATTGAAAATGAGACGGGGCTACCTTCCCAAGCTAAGTAAGAACACACAGGCTTCATTGCCCTCTTGACTTTATTTTCAGGGCCTATGCAATAGAAATCTCCTAATTGCTGGTACAGGCTTCCAATGTACTATTACACACCTCAGCTTACATTCGTGAGTGTTGTAACGGGAAGGAGGTAAACACTGACAGTATATCACTTTGCCTCCTTAGATTTTATTTTCTTTCTGTGGAACCTGTCACTTATTCAGTGAAGAAAAGGAAATTTATTCTTAAAAGTATGTCTCTATAAATAACTTGCTTGTCCCAAAGGGCCAAGTAGTAAGCTGACATCAGGGAAGTCTGGGACCCGGGCATCATGAGTCTGCCAGGCAGGGTGGCAAGCACCTTTTGTCAGCGACCCATTTCACCCATCTATAAATTTCATATTCTTCCCCACGTCAGGTCCGAGACTAGTTAACAAACAGGGCTAATTTCTGTTAGCCTAGAGAACCTCTCTGTGGGTAAACTTTCTCTAATATGCTTAGTTCCCTATATTCTTAGGATATCTGATTTTTATCTCTGGGATTTTGAATCCACATCAAATTAATGTGTCCTTTAGCTTTAAAATGTTTGCAGCAAATCTTTGCCCACTGTCGGCCCCCCTCCCTCTCCAACATCTCTTTGATCTAGACTTTCTATCCACTCTGGAATAATCCAGGGATAATTAGAATTTCTTACCTGTTCTGCCCAAAAGGAGACAATTTATCACAAACTGTCAGGGATCCCAGTTTTAAATTACCAGGAGCCCAATAAGAGAACTAAGGAATCTCCTTTCCAATTAAAGTGATTGATTTCTTAGCAGCTGAGTAGCATGGCTCTTTTTAATTATGTTCACTCCGATCAAATGTGAGAAACTTCATTTTATTTTTTTTCCCCCAGGAACAAGATACGACAACTATTAATCCCAGTGGTAAGAGGCCAGATCCTGCAACGCCTGTGGCAGAAGTGGCCATGGTATCCGTCAGTGGGGCTTGTCTGTTTTTATGGTTTCAGTGGCTATTTCAGCACTAAAGAGGGGAAGAAGAATCACTCCCTCAGAGAGCTCACCCAGGAACATGCCAAGTCGTCCAGACCCAGGGGCCACGACCATGACAAGATGTTGGGTATGTCTCCCAGAGAACAGGTGTGGGAGTGCCCTCTGTGTGCTATGATTACCATTAATGAATAAAGAACCTGCTTTGGCCTGTTGATAGGGCAGAACTTAGGTAGGTGGGGAGGACTAGACTGAATTCTGGGAGGAAGAAGGGCAGAGTCGGGGGAACACCATGAAGCCACGGCAGGAGATAGATGTGCTAAAACTTTGCTGGTAGGCCACAACCTCGTGGTGGTAGACAGATTAATAGAGATGGGTTAACTTAAGATGTAAAAGTTAGCCAATAAGAAGCTAGAGCTAATGGGCCAAGCAGTGTTTTAATTAATATAGTTTCTGTGTGGTTATTTTGGTTCTGGGCAGCCGGGATGAACAAGCAGCCTCTCCTCCTACAGACAGGAATCTAGCAGGGGAATGAGGAGTTGGGAACAGATCTCAATTCTTTCTTGTGCAAAGAACAGAGCCACAGTATTGGAGACAACCCAGTGTGTAGGGTATACAGGTGTTAAAAAGTTTGGGGTCACAAAGACAGAGACCACCGCTGCAACTGAAGTAGCTGGATCAAGCATAAGGTAACAGCTACCAAGAGGGTGTGTGCAAAGCGCAAGCACACAGAGAATGTGCCCTTGGTCTTTAGCTTGTAACTCTTTCCTAAAGATGTATTTTTATTTTATGTGCATTGGTGTCTTCCCTGCATGTATATGAGCTGCCATGTGGGTGCTGAAAATTGAACCCAGATCCTCTAGAAGAGCAGTCAGTGCTCTAATGGGTTGAACCATTTCTCCAGCCTGGTATGATTTAAACTCAGGCAGTGACTGTGTCTTTTCCTCATTGACTAGAGTTGAACCTCATTCAGCCTTATTCAGTTGGCCAGTCTGTAAAGAATGGGTGGGTATACAGGAAGTGGAAGAGGAGGGGCCAGCCACTTTAAGCTGAGAATATAGCTGGGCTTTTGTGTAAACAAAGGTTTTGCTGGGTTGCAGTGGGCAAATAAAACATTTGCATAAAATCTGCAGAGGTGGGGGACATGAAAATATTTTAATTTCTTGTCATTGTCACAGATTTTATAGCACTTGATGGAAAAGACTCATTTAATGTTGTTTAAATGGAATACACAAAGGTTTCTCCCCACTGTGATGACAGCAGGACATGTCATGTGTCATAAAGAACTTTGAGAGGAAAGAAAAATAAACTTCAGAAGCAGTTTAGAAAATGCCACAAGCCAGGCAGTGGTGGCACATGCCTTTAATCCCAGCACTTGGGAGGCAGAGGCAGGCGAATCTCTGTGAGTTCGAGGCCAGCCTGGTCTACAAGAGCTAGTTCCAAGACAGGCCCCAAAAACTACAGAGAAACCCTGTCTCGAAAATAAATTTAAAACAAAAAAAAGAAAAGAAAGAAAAAAGAAAATGCCACAGAACACGAGTGAGTCTTTCAGCAAGGCTCGTGGGGGCCCCTAAGTCTCCCCTGTTGCCATGTTCCTAACCTTCAGTGGCAGGCCAGTGGGTTCTCCTCCCAAAGTCCCAGAGCTGTTGCATCCCAGCATCTCCTCCTACCTCCCTCCATGTGATCAGCAGACTGGCATCAGCTCATCTCTCGTGGCATACAAAGGTCACATTTTATGCTCTGGTTATTTCTATGATCTGTGCGCCAAAGTCTACCATGGCCAGACAACTGGCTTTCTCCAAAAGCTTTCAAATAGTAAAGATAATTCTAGAAACTTCTCAGAGTTTTAAATTCCCCCACTCTACCATAGGATCCTAGTCAAACCGTTAGTAGAAAATGAATTGTACTGTACACTAAACTTTTGATATTTTATAAAATCCATAGGCTGAGACGGCATTCTGCCTGTACTACCTGACGCTGTTTGCAATACTAAGAAACCACGCATTACGCTCTGCGCTCATTAGGCAGTCTAAACATGTGCATGCAAGACAGAAAAGCAGCCACCTCGTCATCACAAAGAGGAGAAATAAAATGGTCACCTCCATGACAACAAAGAAAATAACAGGAAGTAAGGAGGCAGCAGAAGTCATGAAGAAAGTCTGGTCTTACTGAGTTGGGCAGGAACTCGAAGCTTAGCATGGCATGGGCAAACCTGTAATAGAAACACGCTAAGAACCATTAGCACAGGAGACGGGAGACAGGCAGATGTTAGGAAGCTCTGACTGCCACACTACAAAGCCCTGATCATTCATGCATCCACACACAGAGCAGAGTCTGTCCGAGTGGCCGTGCTGGGAGGGGTGGATGAAGCAGAGATGGGTGCTGAAATAACCCAAGAGTCGTTACAGCAGGGCTGGCTGGAACATGAAGGGTTGAAGAGGAGGAGATAATGGGGGTTCACAAACACATGGAAAACGGGTTTGTCTCTGAATTGTTTGTGGGCCCTTAAGTTGACTCCACAGACAGACTCTTGGTGTTTACAGAATACTGTGACGGTTTATCACAATCCTAAACAAGACCTTGTTTTCAATACAAGCATCCTGCAATGCTGGGTATTATTTCCATCCTTTCGCGAATGAGAAGCTGACATCTGACCAGGAGAACCAGTTAATCAGTGTCTTCTCCTTGTCCAACCAAATGAATCAGGAAGCACTGTTCCGCTGGCTATTTTCCGGGCTAACAGGGACAGAGTTCACAAAAGTGCACTCTGGGAGCTAGCTGTTCTGGAAGAGACTCTGCTGACTGTGTCTGTTCCAAAAGCAAAAGGTAAGCAACCACACTGAGTTGCATAAGAACTAAGTCTGACAATCGACTGGACTAAACTGCTCTATCTCAAGCTACTTTTAGATCCTGGGCTTCCTATCGGGACGTCTACAAGGCAAGCAGAAGAATTCACAGGCAATGGTTTAGATACTTCAGGACTTTAATGATCTTCACATAGTCAACAGAAAACACTAACAACATATGAACGATGGGGAAAGATCTCAGCAAAGATCTGGAATGTACGCTATTGCCCTGGTCAAACTACTAAACAGTTATGTGAACACAATTCACGGGGGTGGGAGGGTAACTGAGTTTTGTTTAACAGCCTAACCAGAAAGCAAACAACCAATTTCTTCTACTTGTGGCAAGGATAAGAAAAGTGAATTGTGGAACTTCTAGATCTTTCTGAGAAAGTGGCTTTAGAAGGGAGTCGGTAAAAGGGTGCAACTGCCCACAGCAGGGGACAGTCATGCACAAAGTCATGGGCTGAACCAATGCTAAAAGCATTGACAGAACTGTCTCGTTAGAAATATAATGGCATAGATATAAACCGCATGGTATTAAAATCATACCCACTACATTAGCACTCATAGCGCATGTTACTTCTAACTTGTTATGAGAATAGCAGTATACAGATTCAAAATGCTCAAAATGGTCACTGTTGACTTTAATCAAGAGCTGCAGAAGCCAGCAAACTCACTGCTGTCAGATCCAGCACATTGTACTCCAACCTCCTTGGGGAATGCTCCTGTGAACCCAAAAATAACTAATCAATTCGGCAGAACAAAGTCCGAGGCTAGCACTACAATCCGCCTAGGGAAGGGAGCAGCAGAGATGCCAGGCTGGATTCGTTAGAAAAGCAACAGGAAAGCTTTGAAAGTGCTTCCAGGTCAAGTCCAAATGGAAGGTGGCCATCAGCTGGGAGTCCCATCAGCTCTGCAGAGCCCTGGATGGCTGTTAGGTGTTATTCTTTGAAGAAGAGTCTGTGTTAAGCATGTACTGGGGGAAATCCACATCTGTGAAGTTACTGTAGCCGATCTGAAGTTACTCTGAACACCGCATGGTGCTCACAGACAGCATGGAGCTAGTCATGCTCACAGCTGATGCATCTCCAAGAAGTTCTTCATGAAGGCAGCCAGCTTCTGAACATCTTCAGTGGTGACAGCGTTATACAGAGAGGCACGGATGCCTCCCACTGACCTAGAACAACAGACCCAACCTTGAAGACCGAGAAAAGCAGGAGAAGACATACCAGTGTCAAAGCCCTTGCCTACCATACGTAAGGTTCAAGCTTGAACCTCAACGACACAGGAAAAAAGTGAAGTTTAGAAGGCATCTATTTCAGCACAACCCAGCTTTCACTAACTACGCCTCCTGAGTTGCAACTCTGAGCCCAGTGCTCAACTCCCCGCCTGTAAACCATCCCCCATAGGGAGCATGAAGCTTCTGAGACATTAAGGAAACCCCCTGTGCAGTAAAGGTAATCCACCATGCTCACACTGGATTTCCTCAAACTAGTGACATTTTTAAAGTAATCATCAATGTTATTTGGACAAGTGAATGGGTTTCCCTCTGACATTTCCATACATGCATACACTGGACTTTGATCTACACACTATTCACCTCTGATAAAGGAGAACTCAAGGAGAGGAGAAAAAGCCCGGTGAAGAAGGTGACGGGTTTGGGGCCACATCACTCGCTAGACTTTCCAACAGTTCCAGGCAGACAGACTGAGCAGGCACTCTGCGGTCTCCTGTGTGAGGACAGGTACTGTGCAGGCTGTCTGATGTGCAGCTAGCCCAGTGCCGGTCACACTCCAGAGCAGAGCAGGCAGGCCCTAGCCCTTTCAGTGCCGACGCAACCCTAGGCAGGATGCACCACACCCAGCCAGCAGGTCTGTCACCACGACTCCAGGCTGTGCAAAGTCCTGGATTTGTTTCAGTCTGCCTGACACGCCTGGGGACGGGGAACGCTCACCTGTGCCCCTTCAAGGAGATCATGTTGAGTTCCACCGCCTTATCAAGAAACCGCTTCTCTAAAGCTTCGTCTCCTTTGGCATTGCCAATGCGAAATGGAATATTCATCCTGCTTCTATTCTGGCGCTCCACTGGACATCTGAAAAGCATGTTTATTATTCCAGCTACATTTCTAACAGGTGTAATGTCATAAACAAACCCACAGGTTTTTAAACAGTATCTGGGCTGGGGCTGGCATTCAGCCGACGGAGTGCTTAACGTGTAGAAGGTTTTAGGTTTTGGTTGTACAAGCCTATAGTCACAGGAACCGGAAGTAGAGCCGTGAGGATTAGCATTCAGGGCCATCCATAGCCACATAGTGATTTCAAGGCCAGCTGGGGCTAAATGAGACCCTGTCTGAAAAATAAACAAATAGGTGAGTTAAAAGACCCACAACAAGGAAATGAAATGGGGGAAAAAACAAACTCTTTTCCATAACGTTATAATTTGAATGAATTTACCCAGAGGGAAAAAAAGTCCCACTCACACAGGCTAGCATTCATTTGTACCATTTGTATCTAATTTCTGTCAGCCTCAGTCCTTCACTTGGATATCAGGGACAGTGATGTCTATTTCACACTACCTGTGACAATTCAATGGGTCATTTCCATAGCTTTCAATACTGTCAGCCACACAGTGCAAGTATATAGCTCTTTCTGAGAGGCTGCAGACAAGCTGGGCCTACAGGTGGCTGAAGACCTAAAAGACTCAAAGATCTGGACTTGCAGCTCATGCCCCCAAATTATCCACCCCTTCCTGCAAGGAAAAAATATCGCAAAAATGTCATAAAAGCTGAAGACTGAATCACCAGGTAACGAATACATTACATATCACCCATAGCAGCAAGTCCCTCATGGATGAATAGGAAAAGAAAGGGATCCGTTGTTTTCAATCAAGGGAAAGATGGCAGAGGGAAATTAGACTTCCAAGTGTGGGGGGCAGTTAGCTGGAGAGGGCTGTGGAGACACAGTTTCAAACAGTTCCTCTTTCTGAGAGGTATCAAAGAGGGGACATGTGGAAGGAGGGAACGGGAGCAGAGGAGGAAGAGGGAGAGGGGAGGACTGGATGTGTGGAGGAAGTGGCTGCCGCGCTCTGGCTCTGGCAGCGTGTTGGGTTCCTGGCAGGGGTGGCTCGAGGCACACAGGCCTGGCCATGAAGAGCCTGAGGACACTCTTCTGGCATTTGACTATACCCCTGAATGATGAGGGGTGGTGCGTTTGCCCAGTAAGAAATTTGTGTTTTTGAAGAACAGCTATGGAGGATGAAGAAATGGCTCAGTCAGCCAACTGCTTGCTGGGCAAGAGTGAAGACTTGAATTCGGTTCCCCAGAAGCCGTGGAAAGCCTGGCATGGTTGCACTTCTGTAATCCCCACTTGTGGCAAGATGGCCACAGCAAGCCAAGCGCTCCCACAGACAGACACAGGCACTTTAGGTGAACGGGAACGGCAGCATGTTTTATTAGCCTAGTTTTCCAAGAATGCATTGACACCCTTTACCCACACAAATTCAGCAAGTCTTGGGTAAAAATTACAATTTTAAGTTAGGATTGCAGCATCCTTCTTTTCTATTCCATGTGGCCCACAAAATAGTCAAAGGGAGAGCAAGTTACTGTTAGGCAGATATATCCATTACAACAGACTAAGCCTCATGACCATTAAAAATGGAGGTCCTGGCTTGCTCAGTGAATATAAACATTTATGTATATATGTGGAACTGGATATATAACAACACATGCACATACCAGATGATATACAGTCAGTGGACATCTGTGCCCACCTTGAGGGCTAGGGAAGATCAAGTACCATTACTATCCATGATGTTCCTAAGGCCCTACCTTAGGGGTACCTGCCATTATGGCGAGAAGCCTGTTGTGGCAGGTTGGATGGTGGACACATGTCCATCTTGCACCACCCAGAACCCATGAATCTGACCTCTTTGGAAAACTTGTCTTTTGCAGACAAAATGATGACAATGAACTTGACATTAGGCTACCATGCACAGGTAGGTGTATCAGCCCAAGCCTACAACCCTAGCCCTTGGGGAGGCAAAGAAAACAGGCCAAATCCAAGGCCAGTCTGAGCTACATAGAAAGTTCAAGGCCAGGCTGGGATACATAGTGCAAACCTGTCTCAAAATAAAATCATCCACAAGTATAGGAGATACCTATATCCAATGGTTCACTCTCATGAAACAGAAAAGCAGGAAAGGAAAAGGCCACTGAAGACAAGAGACCATGACAACGCAGTTTAAGTCAGGGACAATCTGGAGAAGAAAGCTCCTTCCCTAGAGTCCTGGAGCCAACCCAAGAACACCTTGATCTTGAACTCTGAGCTTCTGAAACTGAGAATTCCTGTTGTTTTAAGCTGCCAAGCTTATGGGTGATTTATTACAGCAGCACCAGGAGACACTGTCAAGATCTCTGCATCATGGCTGTAGACCTCACAAATGCAGCCAGTGATCAACACATGATCCCCCAACCCTTTGTCATGAAAGTACGTAACTAGATAAAAATCAGCCCTGCCATAGCCAATGTCATTCAGACTGCAGGCCAGGAATGTGGACACCTGTCCTAGAATAAGAGCGGCAGTGAACTCTGAGAAAAGGGAAAGGAGGCAAGGGAGTTGGCCAAGTGGGCAAACTGTTTATAGTGGATGAGGACCTGAGTTCAAATTCACAGAGCCCGCATAAAGCCTGATGGGGCAGAATGCATCTGCAATCCCAGAATGCACTGTAATCCCAGAATGCACCTGTAATCCCAGTGCTTCTAGGGATGAGGACCCCTGAAGTTAAGCTGGCAAAGGAAAAACAAAGAACTGTTTCAAACAAGATGGAAGGTGAGGACTGACAAGGAGGTTGTCCTCTGAGCTACACAAGCAAAATGTCCATGCATGCCTGCACACAAGCTCATGGGGGAAAGGGGGTCGGGGGTAGGGATTTACAGCACAAGGGACTAACAGAAAGATTTCTGCAAAGTTGACAGCCTCCTACAACTGCTCTCCAGTGTCACAGGGAGGAGGGAGAAGAGAGGGGGTCCTACCCCCAGCAAGGCACACTTCCCCGGGTCAGAGTATTTGGTGACATGACCCCAAAGACTGGGATTTACCAAGAGCAAAGAATTTCGCCACCTCCAACCCCAGCTCATGAGGAACGGGACTAGTATGCCAGTGTCCTGGGAAAAGGTAAGTTCCAAGGAATATAGTTTCCAATTCACAAGAGACACAATGCATTGACTTACACATAAAATCCTTGAGAATTATCAATTATCTCATAAATCATTTGGGATTTGATGGAGCTGAGCTTCTCCATGGCTGCGGCTCCACCATTGTTCTTGATCCATTCCAGGACCATGCCCATGACGTAGATGCTAAAGATAAAAGACAACACCATTAAGTTCACCTCTGCACAAGTCAAAAGAACATGTAAACAAAGTGGTATTGGGAGTCACACTGACACTTTTAGCATCATTACAGGTGAATAAGAGCGGGTCCCTTGAAGAGTACAGCAAGGACTAGACCAAAGCAACTGTAGCCCATGAAGCATTCTAAAGAGGCGGCACAGTGCACCTTAGGAATGCCACAGCAGTCCCTCAAGGCCCTGCTGCAAATGCTCCACGACACCCAGACCACACATCCCCAGCTCTTTAGACCAGCGGTTCTCAACCTGTGGGTCATGACCCCTGGGGTGTTGAATGAACCTTTCACAGGGGTTGTTTAAGACCATCAGAAAACACAGATAGTTACATTATGATTTATAACAGTAGACAAATTACAATTACAAAGTAGCAATGAAATAACTTTAGGTTGGGGTCACCACATGAGGAGCTGTATTAAAGGTTCGCAGCCTCAGGAAGGTTGAGAGCCACTGCTTTAGGCTGTCTCTCCAACCCCACCCACCCATGCTAAGCTCACACTTCGCCTCCTGAATCCTGAGTCCCTTGCTCATATGATCCATATAAGGTTGTAGGGTTTGGTTTGGCTTCCCACTCGCTCCTTTATTCTAAACTTCTGTGAGCATGCCTATGCCTTAGATTCTAATGCTAGAAGGCTGGAAGCCCACACTGTTCTTCTTTTCTATTCTAGAGTCCCAAGTCAGCACCTCCTGCCTGACAGAGGTGCGTTGTGGCAGTGGCAGACACCACAGGTTCCACACAGGGCTGGTCACCATGAAAATGTAAGTGTTGTCTTTACCACTGAGAACAAGGAGCCGTTACTACCTGAGGGAGACACCTCTCCTGCTCTTCTCAGTTCTACCCCCACACCCAACATACAGATCCAGCAGCGAGATTTGCTTCCGTGGTCTCAAGAGGTGGGCATGAGACTTAACTAGACCAATCAGCAATCCCCTAGGATGTTCTCAGCTGGCAGTAGGGAAAGGCAGACCTGGAGTAGCTCATTCTAAGTAGAAGGGAAGTCTTGGCAGATCTCGTTTCTACCTAAACAAAGAAGTCAACACCCTGGCTAGAGAAGCAAGGATCGGAAACGGAGAGCTACTGACCTGTAAACCTCAGAGCATGGGAGACCAAGGCAGGAAGATGGTTTAGCTTGAGCTACATAGAGAATTCCAGGCCAACCTGAACTATATAGCAAGCCCCGGTTCTCAAAACAAACCAAAAAAGAAGTGGAGAAGAGATGGTGCAAGATTTGTGTGCCTGGTTCTAGGAGGACCAGCCGTAACACAGCATCATTCCTTTCCGAGCAAGTGTTCAGACTTCTCTTCCACAAGATCCACACTAGCACAGGGCCTGACAAGAGTAGCCCACACAAACGGTGGCTGGTGGGTACCCAAACGAAACTGAAATTACAGGGAATTTGAGGATGGCAGGTGGTTTCCCCATCAATCTTCTCACTGTCTTTAAAAAGGTCCCACGCATTCCTAACTGAAAGCCCATAGAGCAGAAGCAGGTCTCCCGTCCACCGTGAGCTTGGAGTCTGCAGATGGTCAGCTTCCAGCTCCAGTCTCCTCAGAGTGTGGCTGTGTCCAGGTGGGGGATAAAGGTGGGGGAACTGCAAAAGGTCTGATGGGAAAAGAGGCTGAGCCAAAACCTGGAATAGGGATGCCCCAGCTAGGCTGCTTCCTGTTCCCGAAGACGTTACCCTACGCCAGGATCACCAGGTCTGCAGAGTTCTGACAGGCAAAGGGGCTGTCGCTCAGAAACCTAACACTGACCGGTTGCTCAGTTCACTCTCAACCAGGTGGGCCAAGAACGCAGGAGTTTCTTCCCAGAAGACAAGAGAAAGCAACACCAGACACACAGGGTCTTCACAAAAAGTAGGCAGCACGCAAAAGCACACTAGAACCTCTCCGGAGGCTTCCTTGGCCTAGACTCCAGGCTGGTGATGGAGGAAGGGAGGAAATGCAGAAAGCCGTCTTGACTGGCTGGACAGGGGAGACAGGGGAGAGGGGTGAATGGGGAAGAAACAGGAATGAGTCTTACAGAAGTCTACAGTGCCTCAGCCTACTGTTACAGATCCCAGTAGCCTGATTCAGGGGCTCCACTGTTCCATTTACAGATAGGAAAGCGGACTCAGCTTCACTTAGCTAAAGCCATCCATCCCAAGTAGCTTCTGAAAGCCAAGATTCTACCCCAATGTCTGCCTGACTTCAAAGCCAACGTGCTTTCCCTTGCGCCAGGGCCATCCGCTCTGTCTGAGACTGTAGGCCTCAATCACCAGCTTACCTGTGGGACAGAAGGACTGCCACCTAACCGTCGGAAAGGCCACCTGTGCATATGTCATGTATGTATGTGCCCCTGGGTGAAAAGATGCTCTCAAAATCTATGCAACCCCGAACCGCTCGTCCCCAGCATCCACTGTCTGCTCGACCAGGCTCATCCCAGATTACCAGAGCCAAGGAGAGTCCCGACGAACACTTCCAGAAAACCACGCTCACTTTCACCTGGTGCTTTGTAATCCCTATATTTCAAAACTGCGGATTCTTAAGAAATCTAAAGCAATGAGGTTCCCTGCCTCAGCGAGACCTCAGGGATAACACCGTGTTCAGGCTTGCTACCAATATTCTCTGGCTGCCTTCTTAGGATCTGAGCAGGTCAAAGCAGCAGAAAGCAAACACATTTCCATAGGCCAGCCTCTTTAGCCTGGGTCTCCAATGCCTCAGCAAGCAGCAAGTGGATCTGAAGAAAGCAGACTGCCCAGAAAGCAGAAAGACAACCCTGGGAAGAGGAAGCCCTGCCTGCTTTTCCGCCTGCCTGCTTTTCTGACATCCCAGGTACACACTGATGTGGGGCCCCTGTGATTGACCTCTGCCCTCTGAAGCCAAGACTCTTAAAACCGTCGGAGCCTTGCAATGCTACGTGGATTCACAACTTGGGCTCCATTCTTTCCCTCATTAGTGCACACTTTTACCTAACTGATGCCGTTAGTATTAAACTGGCTACGTACAAGCACACCAATTAGGCTCACCATCTAAGCCTGCCTAACCTTATTGAACCACAGCAAATCTGATCCCTGGAATAGCTGTCCATAATGAAAAGTGGCGGGCATTTAAGCTAACATGACAGAAGGCCCATGGTACACTGCTGGGCTGAAAGGGTTCAAGTCTGAACAGCACTGTTCACAGCTCAGACACAGCTGATCCCCCAAATTCATGAGTTTGGCAGCCATGGATTCCGTCAACCTTGTACAGACCAAGTTTCAAAACCAGTGTCTGGAAGGAATATAAACAAATCTTTTCCTTGCCATTACTTCTTACACAATACAGCACAGAAATTATTTAGAGCATTTATATTCTATATTAGGTACTATAAATAACCTAGAGATGACTTAAAACATACAGAAGAATGTGTATAGTTATATACTATGCCATTTTTAAAAAGAGATTTGACCACCTAAGAATTCTGGCCTCCTTGGGGCCCTGGAATGAGGCTTTTAGGATTAGGCAGGCACAGTGTTTCCCTGATCACAGTTCACATAGAAACTTTGGCTCAGAGCAGGTGTTATTTTTATATATTTTTAAAACAATATCAATTATACCCTGCATGTTAGAGTTTAGAAAAAGGTCACCAGAAGTCTCCAGGCTGCAGATGAGCCCCTGGGCTGGGGATGAGGCATCGCGACTGTTTCAGAAGCCTGTGCCAGCCTTCCTGCAGTCAGCCTTCCCTGACGTCAGCTGCCCCACACCCTGAGGGCTCCAGCTTCACCCTC